CCCCCTTCCCCCGCCCGGTTGCCCCCGCCTTTAAAAAAAAAAAAAAAAAAAGCCTCCACTCACCGGATGCTGCCAGCGGGGTGGGAGAGGGTGATCCCTGCTTCACTCTGCTGCCCCATGCTGTGTGGGGGGCTCTGCCATGAGCCCCTATCCCCCTTCTCTCCCAGCCCCCCCATTCTATAACAAATATACTGAGTTTGACTAGATATTTAGCTGAGTTTTATTCTGGATTGTAAATCATCACTAGCATGCTGGACCAAATTTAGCTGTATATCTAGATTATATATGTATATAGGGGCTGGGGGAGGGGAGAGGGGAAGGGGGTGCATGTGTATAGATATATGTGTGTGTGTGTGTGTGTATATATATAGATATATATAGATACAGATATAATATATCTATCTATATATACGGATATAAATGCATATCTAGATTAAATAACTAATGTTCAGTTAATTGCAATCATCTTTAGCACTATACATTTCTCTTTACTATGTAGACCCCTCCATATAAAAATGCTAGGGAATTTCTTTTTCTGCTGCATTCAGTAGAGCTTGACACGATGCAAGAGTGTGTCTTTGTTGTCAGTTTTAAAAACTGTATTATTTCAAAATGCATAAATTATCTTGCTCTGTTGGTAAGAGCTCAGATATAAAACCCTGATGATCTGTACAAGGGCCTAAAACAGGAAGTTATCATTATGTATAGGGTAAGGAAAGAGACCAGAAGAAAAAATAATGGGTTAAGTGTCCAAATATCTGTATGCTACTGGAAGAAGTGTGGAGTGCAGACAAAAGGCTTGGGTGCCTGGTCCCCCAAGAACTCTGGGGCTTTTCATCCCCTGCCCTGAAAGCCATTTAATTAGTTTTTCCTTCCTTCTATGAACCCTGTAGCTGCAAGATCCCAGACTCATTTTAGACTTTTTAACACATTTTGAGAAGGGAGAACTGAACATTTCAGTTGCAATTGCTGGCAGTGACATCTTCCTCTCTTTTGGGCTTCCAGCCAGTCTAGGTATTCCTCCCCTTCTGACAAGATGATGCCAAAAAAATGAAAGTGTTTAATTTTGTTCAATTACTGAATTTTGTTCAGTTTTTACTAAGAAGAGTAACTGATAATATGTCTAACAAAATTAGCACCAGAGATAATGGGTAAGAATTCAGACTACAATAGGAAAAGAACAGATTAGAGAGTATTTAGGTAAAATGTTTTAAAATCACCTGGGCCTGATAAAATTCACCCTAGAATACCTGCAGAACTGGTTGAAACAATCTCAGAGCTGATAATGATTATCTTTCAAAACTCTGTGGAAATAAGTGGAATTCCAGAAGACTGGAAAAGGACAAATATAGCATTTCTTTTCAAAACGGGAAGAAAAGAGTCAATTATTAGCCAGTCGGCCTAATTTTTTGAGAGATACTAAACAAATAAGCAACCAGTTTGAGAGCACCCTTAAGGTAACAAGTAAGTAACAGATAACATGGAATTGTCAAGAATGAACCATTTCAAAACAAACTAATTTCCTTCTATGAAAGGGCAACAGACCTTCTGGTTAGGACAAAAATAGTAGATGTGATAATATATTAACTTTAATAAGGGCTCTTTACACTGTCTTGCATCTCATAAACAAGTTTAGGGAATATGGTTACATGAAATTGCTTGAAGGTGGTTGTGCAACTGATTGCAAAACTGTACTGAAAGAGTATTTAACACTAGTTCACTGTCAAACTGGAAGGATGCATCAAGTGGTGTTCCACAGAGGTCTGTCCTAGTTCTGGTACAAATTCAGTGGTTTCATTAATGGACTTGGATATTGGAACAGAGATTACATATTAAATGTACTGATTTGATGGTGCTAAACTGGAAGGATGGTAAACTCTTTTGAGAACAGGATTAGAATGAGTATTAATCTTGACAAATTAGAGAGGTAGTCTGAAATAAATAAGATGCAGTTCAATAAGGACAAGTGCTAAGTGCTATACTTAAGTTGGAGAATTCAGCTGCACAGATACAGGATGGAGGAGGACTAGATGGGCAGCAGTTTTGTATCTACAGTTTTGTAAACTTGGGTTTATAATACATCACAAATTGAACATGAGTTGTAAAGGGTTGTGTTTTTTTGTGTGCAATATCTTTTATTGGACCCACTGTATCAACATCTCCCACAATGATAAGCTTTCAGATCAAACTGTTCTTCCACAGATCTTACTGGGTAGCTTGTGGCCAAATGTTTATCTTACTGCTCTATAAATGAGTTCAGTGCATTTTGAGTCAGGTTCTAAACTTTTAATTGCATCATTCAGCACTGCATTAATGTCGGTAGATGAATATAGCTACTTATGCGGTCACTTTTACCAATAATGGCTTTCTTCTATGTACCTTTTTAGTATTTTTCCTTCAGCCTCTCAGTTAGACCTGTTTTTCCCCTTTGTTTTTTTATTCTGTTCACTACTTTGGTTTAGAAACTCCAAAAGTACTTAAATGAACAGATAATATTGCCACTCTATCTATTACGGCCCCGGCACATGTTTAAATTAAAGGTGGATAGAAACCAACTACAGAGTTGTTACATGCTTTCAACCCCTTACTTGTACCTGAGTGGC